CTCTTGAAGGTGTTCAACGTAGGTGCTTGAACCACTCCTGATGGCAGGCTTGGGGGCTCAGATAGTAAAGAAATTCTTCCTTGTGCCCAGCCTGAAATGGTCTCGCAGTAGTTTGTGACCATTCAACCTTGTCATCCCTTGGGGCGCTCTGGTGGACAGATGTTCCCCCAGATCCTGGTGGTCACCCCTGATAAACTTATAGGTGGCCATCAGATCACCCCTGAGCCTATGATTTTCCAGGCTAAAGAGCCCCATGGCTCTCAGCCTGTCGTCATAAGGTCTGTTTTCCTGACCTCTGATCATGTGTATGGCTCTTCTCTGGATTTATTTGACATATTCTTAAGACATGACTCAGTTTTAACAAAACAGAAAAATGCAAATCAACTCTAGTAGCAATCAGCAGAGATCCTGGTTTTTCCCTGATAAAAAAAATTGAGAAGTCTCTGATAAAACCCCCAAAACCCATGATTAAAATTAAAGCCCCCCTACCCCAACAGCCCCCTGGGCCCTGCTGGTGCCCTCACTCCCCCCACAGCAGCCCCACACCCCCCCCAAAAAGGTAAGTGTGTGAGGAGGCGAGGGAAGGGCAGATTGAAAATGGGTGGGGGTCTGTGCCTGCTCCCAGGAGCAGGGCCGAGGGTAGCAGGGCCCCTCTGTGGGCCACACACACACACCGGCTGCCCGGGGGGGGGGGGGTGCACCCTGCACACAGCAGCTGCCATCACCACCATCACCACAGCCAGGCTCCACAGGCACAGCTGTACAGCCACACGGCTCTGCAGACAAGGGGCGCAAGGCATGACAGTAGTGGCAGCTGCCACATGCAAGCCCCTTCCCTCCCCCACCCCAATCGGCCAGCTTGTGCACAGCTCACAGAGAGGCACCATTGCCCCACACCGCTTGCCTATGGAGCCGTGCAGCCGCACAGCTGTGCCCATGGAGCCAGCTACAGGAAGGTAGCAGGGGGTGCAGTAGCAACAGCGGTGGCTGACATGCGAGGTGTCATTTTACCACCCCCCCCCCCCCAAGCGCTGCCACGCCCTATGGTTCCTTCCCACGGCCAGCTGCACGGCTCCACAGGCAAGCAGCATGGGGCATGGCAGGCAAGTAGCCATTCCAGGACAGGGCTGGGGATTTCCTGCCCTTTTTGCAATCAACTCTTGCAGGCTGGGACTGTGCCACAAGCACAGCTCTTTACAAAACTGGAGAATCTGCAGGTTTCTCTGCTAAAAGGTAAAATCTGTTTGTTTGTTTTGTTTTGTTTTTAATCAGAGAAGAGGGAAATCCATGGTTTTCTCCATTTTTCTGTGGGAAATGGAAAACCCAGATCCCTGGCAATCAGTAAATACATTTATTCTGGAGCTTAATTTTGCTCCCAGTTAATTCAGTGGAAGCAAAATCAATACCTGGGTTAAAAGTCTTCTGCTTACTGACTTAACATGGTGGTAATAAAAAGTATCATCATGTTCTAAAATGTTTTACTTACCTCAAAATTGACATGGCCATTTGGTAAGCGATTGGCACAGCCCTCATTGAAGAAGTAAATGTCTTTGATTAAGAGACTGAAGAAAGGTATCACGATCTGAGGGGGAATAAAAAAAATTAAATTAAAATATTCCATCTTTAATACTGCACAAAAGCAAGGTGATAGTCCTAACACCATATGTGTTGAGATTTAAGTCACACAGGGTGTGTTTACACATTCATTAATATGCCAGTTACAGCGCATTAAATTTAGTGTTTGCATAACCAAGTACTAAGTCAATGAGCAGTAACTGACACCACTGTGCAGTAGCACCAGCTTTAGTGACGCTAACTTTGCAGTAGCCTAGTACTATTGCACAGTAGTGTACAAGTATGGGTTTGCCCTGCACGCTACTGCTCAGCAAACTACTGTGTAGATCTTGTGTAGATGCACCCAGTGAAGAAATTAAGCACTGAGCTAAAGCCTACTGTATTCCTTTCACCCTCCAGCCATAACACTTCACAAATTTATTATCACTCTATTCCCACAATATGCGATGGCTTTCTTTTGAGCAAGACATCATGCAATCTAGCTGAATCCTCTTAATTTCACTTCAGCTCCAGCTCTCAGCTGTGCCTCTGACTTCTTCCACCTTCTCATTTTTGTAAACTCTTTCAGAATCCCCATCATATTACATTCTAAAACAAGGTGGCTTTCTCCTGCTACTTGTGGTGACCAAAGCCTGCCTAACCCATTTACTTTCTATAGAGTTCCTCAGTGTTATGACCACATATCACAGTCTTGCAGTTTCCACAAGGAGACAATACAGGGGTTTCTTCTTGTGTGCCCATTATCAACAGGTGTTTGGATATTAAAGCTAAAGACAACTACTATGGGGAGACTTATTCCCTCCTGAGTTTTTTTCAGTCCAAGTAATTTATTTACACATAATTGGCATATGTTCCAAGACTAGGTCTTATTTTATCTGAGCAATGCCTGAATGCAGGAAGACATTCAGTAACAGCAGGCCCACAGAGCTGAGGAAAAAACCCAAACACCAACTGACAGCAATAAAGCCCAAGAGCCAAGGGCTGACAGTATTGCTATCCTTGGGGGGTTGCCTTCTGGAAGTGAGTTTGCTGAAGACTCCACTTCAATCTTCTTTAAAAAAGAAAAAAAAAAAAGAAGGAGATTTCAACAATAATCTAAGGAATTTAGAAGCCCATGTCCCACTGAAACAGAACAAATCTCTCTAGAGCAATCTGTTGTTAAGATTACTGTTCCAGGGCAGCCTCAGCTCTCAGATAAGTTATTTTCCTCCTTACTTTTCCTAAACATGTCTTCTCTCTCTCATCCTCCAGTTCCACAGCTACATGTAGCTCTTGCTTCCTCATTAAAAGACAGTGGACACATCTACACAAGACATTTACTACAAAGCCAAATAGCTGTAAAGTAAAACATCACTATCTACATATGCTGGGCTATTAGAATGAAGTAAACTAATTAAACTCTGCTGCAATGCACATGTAGACACCAATGAGGCTGGCTGGGCCACAAAATGTGTTTCGGTGCAGGGGCTGCCTGCCAGCTAGCCCTGCACTGAAGCACCCTTGTGCCCCAGCCAGCCCCTATGCAACACACTGAACTGGGCTGCAGCAGCCTCAGGGGGGCAGGCTGAACCCTGGGGCCTCCTGCTAGCCAGGGCTGCTCTGCCCCAGCTCAACATGCTGCAGTCCCAGGCACATATGCAAATGCAGTGCCCGGGAGCAATAAACTCTGGTGTGAACTGCACTGGAGTTTATTCAGCCACATTAATTGCACTTGTAGATGGGCCCAGTGTCCCTTTTTCCCCTCTTTGATGAGCTGCGTGTCCCCTCAAAGCTCAGATGTACCAACATGCCTTGTATTGGTTACGAGCACAGCAGTAGTGCAACAAGTCAGAGGAATCTGTACAATCTTTCCATGAGACAACCATGAGCTATGAGCTGGGGAGGTAGGAGGGATTGAGTCTCTGGAACTGAATTGCCCAAATTTGATTTGGGGAGTTTTGAAGTATTTCCAAGTTCCAGATTCAGTCTTTGAAACTTTTACTCAAATAAGGATGTTTAAAAATTCAAGGTTGTGCCACCTTGAGACAGAAGTCATGCTGGAATGTCAGAATTACTTGTGGCTTTCTGCACAGCTCTGCAGATGGGTAACTAAACTCTTTGGATTCCTGAAACTTATTCATCTCTATAACAAATGCAGCATTTTATACTTTAACATCTCATACCTCAAATGATATCCAACAGACTTTTAGGTCTAAAAATTCATATTTTATTTTTAGGTGTAGAACATATGCATAAATGAGCACAGTTTATGGATTATCTTTATCCTGCCTTGTAATTTAAGTTATTCTATGAGCAGCAAGACTGGGTTTATTAAACCTGACATGCAGAGCCAATGTTATTGGAAGTAGATAAATTATTTAGTAGCTCGCCTCTGAGTGGATGTAGGCTAGCAAGCTATTTGGCTCCTATCCAAAGTGAATGAAATAGATGCTACAAGAAGGCCTGCATTAATACAGATCCCAGCCTCTTATTTCTCAAAACCTGGTTTATTTTAAGAGGGTCGCATCTTTCTTTCCCACCATTTCTGAATAATTTTTCAGTGATTCAGTTTAAATGCCCCCCACCCCTTTAAATATAAGAAGAACAAAAAACCCCAAACTTAAGCACCCCACAAAGATACCTGGATGAATTTGTGGCTACTCATACTAATAAAAATTCAGGCAAATAAGGCCTCTTCAAGTTGAAATAGTAAAGACTATAGACAGAAGGGACCTCTCTTCCCTAAATCTGGATGTGCCCCTACAGTTAATAATGGTTTATCAACCATAAACACTAGTTTAACTGCTCTGCAATGTTGGTGGTTTACTTTGGCAGAGTCAAGCCCTGAAACAATAATCTTAACAGACTGCTACAGCAAAAATAAATAAATGAATTTAAAAAAAGCCAATAAGTTAGTGCCACACATACATGACAGGTGGTATAAATGTGGGATTGCACATTAGATCACATTGTGCCTTATTACCAGGGTCCCCTTGAACTGCCAATAAGCAAGCTCCCACAGCTGGGAGTTTCCCACTCAGCTGAAGGTCCCCTGGCCACAGGAGAACCCTATACACCTCTGGGGCTAGAGGATCACTGCTAGAGAGTGATTGCTTAGCACCTGAGGGTGCAGGGGGCAGAGGATCTCCACTGCAGTGATCTGCCTGCTCCTGGGGGTTTCCCATACCCCAGAGCCCTAAGGGTGCATGAAACCCCCAGATCCTAGGGATCACAGCTGCCCCAATCCCTAGGGCTTGCGGGGGGGTGGGGGGCAGTGTTCACAGGACATGGTGCACCTCTGAGACTAGAAGCCCGGTCAGCTGACAGGGCTCCCTGATGCAGGGGAGACCCTGCTACATGTGCAATTAAAACTCAATAGCAACCAGTTATAAAAAAGTTAGTACACAAAGCTGGTTGGAGCTTTTTACTGTATAATAGCTACTTTGCATGTGTAGCTGGTAATTGTGCAAATTAACCAGTTAATTGTGCAATGTCTGGAAGGTGTAGAGGGGCCTATTACAGTGGTGCTAAGTAGAGAATGAACTTTCAGTCTGATATAAACAAACAAACAAAGTCTTGGATCACAGATATTTAAGAATTGAATTGAGCTTTTCCTTTCAGTGTCTTCAATTTAAAAACAAAAACAAAACAAAAACAAAAAAATAGACAAAACAAAAAAAAACAAAAAAAACACCCTTCAGCACATCTAACAGTTTATTCAGCTCCCTTTCTTTTCATCATTTTGCTCTCAACATTATTTTTAATTCGCTTTCAGTTTCACAAAAGAAACAAAGCAGCAGTGGTGTAAAATTGATATTCTGTATCTATTTCAGGCAGAAGACAGATTCATAAAATAGGTTTACTATTAGCATTTGAGCTTTTTTTTTTTTTTAAATTTAAGCACTCTCTCGGTGTATTTTAAAGCTTTTTTTTTTTTTTTTTTTTTTTTTTTTAAATAAAAAGGTAAAAACATTTTAGAATTAGGAGCAGCAGCTTTTGTGTTTCTTCCAACCTCTTAGCTATTCTGCCAGTCTTTATGGAAAAATTGGTTTCTCTTGGGCATTTGTCAAGACTTGCTCTTCATTTCTTGCCTACTCAAAGATTACATTAACATCAATCCGTCTCTTTCAGTGTAAACCCCACATACAAATTGTGTCCTCCACAGGAGAAACACAAAGTTAGAACTACCTGAATGACACCTCTCTACATTGAAATACTCAAGCCATTTTCTCAGAAATCTCTGGGTTCGGACTAGTTACTTTGTCAACTAAAAAATGCCCACATTTATGCCTCCTAGTCTCCTATGGAGTTGTGGGTATCAAGAAGCACTCCCACAGATCTCCTCCTCCACAGAAGCACTGAAATATTGGCTGGAGAAGATGAGCAACAGAAGAAGGGGGGGGGGTGAGGAAACACATCACCAGGGGGATTATGCATTGGCTTCAGACTATTATGATCATAATGGGAGTCAGATCAAAAGGCATCAAGACTGAACTCCTCTGTCCACAAGCTGCATACAGTAGGAATGGTACCAGCACAAGGCTCATTATTCTGTCCCATCAGTGCTCCTCAATTCCAAAACACAGGGACAAAGGATAGCAAAGTAGTTCAGCCTCTTTCAATCCCTGGCTTTCTGTCTAGGTTGTCAACAACATGCGCCATTTGTGACAGAGCTTGCAATGTAGACACCTCCTCACCAAAAGCTGGAGATAATATCCTGAATGAAGCAAATGAAGCAGTTAAGACAGCTATTTAGTGTTAACAACTTCCAGTCAGTGGCATACTGGGCTTGATTTTGAGTGGAAGCCAGGAAGTGAATTATTTCTCCAGTCCACCTAACCCTCTGAAACTTTCCATCTGTTTCCTTGCTGGTTCATATATGCATCCAACTCAAGATTTCAAGAACACATGGAATGAACAGGGATCCAATTATTTTTAAGGAAGCCTACTGAAGTTAGTTCCCAATAGTTTTTTTTTTTTTTTTAAGTGAATCAAAGACTTGCCACATAGCTTACTGAGCACATTTCACTATTGCCCATTTGCCAGGTCATTCATGACCATACCTTCTCTCTGCTACTATGAGCTGTCAAGGACCTCTGAGCAGCTCCACGAAGAGCAGTTCGGTAATTGTAGAAATTGCTAGAGGGGTCCATCTGATGCTGTAGACAGGGAGAAAAATGTAAATAATGAGCTGCAGAGATGCAGGACTGTGATCTGGACAATGGTTTTCATGACAGAGAATTTTAGAGTTCAAAAGGTCTTATGTTGCAAATGCCCCTTTTTAAAACAGCAGTTCTCTCTCTTTTCAGCAGGCATAAAAAAACAAAAACCCCCCACACACTTAAAACTGCTCATGAAGAAACTCAATGAATAAAGTCAAGTCAGGCAGCACAAAAGCAGTTATGCACATCACCTGGACCTTCCCCTCCCCCCAAATAACAGTATTAATTCACATTCCAAGGCAAAATTTCTGCTCAAAGATGCACAAAATGGGTCTCTATTCCAGTCTTTTGCTCTTAAGTCAATAGCTCACTTACTGATGTTAACAGATGTTCGACATGCACACAGAGCAGAATACTAAAACCTTCTTATGCTACAGAGGTTTAAGTGTTAAATTAAATGAGAACCACAGTAGCTAGAGGATCTCTAGAGTTAACCAATAATCTATATTGGTGTGTTCAATTATGCTGAAATATTATTTATCAATTACTGCCAATTAATGCAAGATAAAGATAAAGCTTTAGTGTAGGTACACCAAAGGTTGAAGTCCACTATGAAAAAAGGAAGATCTAATTATTATGCTATTTTGATCCTGACTATATTGCTCAGACTCCAAAAAGATACTACTCACAATTTTAAAATTTCAGTTTAAAAACAAACTGGGGGTTGTTACAGTGGACATTAAGCTGTTACAAGGGGGTTATAATGGACAACAACAGCATATGGGGCTGCATTAGTAGAAGCGCTGCCAGCAGAACAAGGGAAGTAATTATTCTCCTTCATTCTGCACTGGTGAGGCCACACTGGGAGTACTGTGTCCAGTTTTGGGGCCCTCTAAGGATGTAGACAAGTTGGACAGAATCCAACTATCAGTCTACAGAAGAGAAGAGTGAGGGGGGATTTGACAGCAGCCTTGAACTACCTAAAAGGTGGTTGTAAAGAGGATGGAGCAGATGAGCACTGTTCGCAGTGGTGGCAGATGATAGAACAAGGAACAACGGTCTCAAGCTGCAGCAAGGGAAGTTTAGGTTAGCTACTAAGAGAAAAAAAAAAAAACACAAACAAACCTGTCGCTAGGAGGTTGGTGAAGCACTGGAACAGGTTACCTAGAGTGGTGGTAGACTCTCCATCCTTGGAGGTTTAAGGCCTGGCTCAACAAAACCTTGGCTGGGATGATCTAGTTGGGGATGGTTCTGCTTTGAGCAAGGGGTTGGACTAGATAACCTCCTAAGGGCCCTTCCAGCCCTAATTTTCTATGATTCTATGAACATTGTCTGCTTCTAGTTACTGACTAGGTTTTGGAATAAAAGTTACACACAAGAAAATTTACTCAAGGACTGATTTTATCCATTGAAATTTTCACTTTTGATATGCATCCACACGTGCAACATTTCATTAAACAAGCAAAGAAAAATTCATTTGGAACAGTCAGTTCTGACACTGTTGACAGACATATTTCTAAATATCAATCTAACATACCTCCAGAATGTCAAATTTAGCCGTCTTGACTTTTGTCCAGGTTTTCTTTAGTCGAGACACAGGACTCATGTTCATACCAGCTTTGCAACAAAGGGGAAAAAACAAAATTAAATAGAACTTAACTAGCTTAAAATAAAAGAACCAAAAGTCTCCAAAGTAAAAACAAAGGAGCTGTTAACAAGACAGACTTCCCAGCGCTAGTCAGGAAACAAAAATTCCATTCCATTGGAAATTGGTGTTTCCAAATTCAGTTTTGAACTGATTTAGAATATTGGGAGAATTCCTCAAGAGGATACCTTGAAGAGTTTTATTTCAGTAGTGTTAAATTGGTTACATATTGTGAAGAGTCAACAAGTAGTGACAGAAAGTTGAAACTAACTAATTCAACATCTTCCATTAAGAATTTTATCCAACTAAACATTTCCAAGAAATGTTTAAAACTTTACAAATGGTGGCAGGGCGCTAGAACTACAGCTCAAAAAAGCTTTAGTTCAAGCACCCCGCCACCATTTTTAAAGCACAGGGACACTGATACACAGGACAGGAGGCTGCTGAAGCGCAGCGATTGTCATGCTCCAGCAGACTCAATTTAAATCAAAGTAAATAGACTTGATTTATCAAGTCTGCTGTGCCATGCTGGAATTCCAGCACATCAGAGCAGCCTCTGCGTTTGTGTACAAGTGCCCAAAGATTATACCGGCAAAAAAGAGAAATGAACTGGCATTCGATTAAATTTTACTCATAAATAATCATGGTCAGGACCACAGCTGTGAAATGAGTGTGTTCCAAGGAATGGCATTGGGGCACTGAGATTTCTTGAAGTATACAAACACTAGCAGACTAAGGGTACATCTCCATGGTCACAGTCCACTATCCCGCAGAGAAACCCTAGCTAGCAAGGATACTGGAAGCAGTGTACACACATTAGCATGGTAAATTATCCCAGATAAAATGCTGTATTAAATTCAGCTATAACCTCTGGTACCCAAGCTACACAACACTGCATTGTGCTGTAAAGGTATATGTTAAGTCGCGTATTTTTTTCTCTTTCCTTGCAATTACCTACTAAATTAGACAGTAGTCCAAACTACAGTACTGAATAGTCTTATTTAAGTGTCTATTACTAAGAAATATTTAGCAACTCTCCTCACTATTTTTTTCCCTTCCTATCCAGCTGAGTACTTAAATAGTGAAAGCATTCCATATTTAAGCAAACAAAGCTATTTTTAGAGATTAAAATAAAGGAAGGGGACTAAGGAGGAGAAAGTTTCCTTTAAAAGTCACCACCCAGATACTCACAAATAATTGCCATTAAGGAGTTGAAGTTGCCGATGTTAAAACACTCTCGGGCCACATCAATGAAATATTCTATCATTCTTGCTCTGTGTTTTTTCTTCACTGGCTGTAAGAGATCAGAGTGGAGGGCTATTCTTTAGCAGGAGGAAGAATGATCAGTTCTTTATCATGATATTGTAAAATATATCTCCTCTATAGTTTTTGCCATTTTATACCATACTTTACAAGCAGAGCAAGCTACGAGCCTAAATCCAGGAAATCTGTGATAAGAAACAGGTGGGCTTAACAAGTTAAGCAACCACAGGAAAGGGAGCACATGGAGGATTACTGGTGAGGAGCACCTATGAAGGATTCATAGAAAAAATATTAAGAAGGCCCATCAGTAAATACCAAATATGACAGACAGGGGTGCAGTTTCTGAATCAGAACTTCCACTGCAGCTTCAGAGGGTTACAAAGAAAAGTAAAAAAGTGTGGAAAAATTCTGGACATGATCTATTTAGATTTAGAATCTGTCCTCTGCCACTATCCATTTGGGACAGGATACTGGGCTAGATGGACTTATGGTCTGACCCAGTAAGTGACAGTGGCAGTTCTTAGTCTGACACATTACATCTATTGTGCAATTAAACTGGTTAACTGCACAATACATTTACACATGCCTCATGTGCAAAGTAATTATCACACAATAGAGATGGCCAATGAGGCACAAAGTTGCTGTTGTGTGGGGGGAGAAGGGGGGAGACGCATGAATGAAATCAGCTACATTTTTGTAGCCGATTTCTATCAAGCTTTAATTTGAGCATGTGGCATGTCACTATTTAACAGACAATATGATTAATAGACAAAAAGGGAAATATCCTTCCAGGCACAAAGGGTGAGCTAACAGGAGATGCAGCTGACAAAGGGAACATTGAAGGGGCAGGAGTGGAGCTCTAGGACTACAGCTAAAGAGGCTTCACAACTTAAAAACAGGACCGCATGCCAGGCGAAAAGGACCAACTCACCATGCAGATTTCTGTAGCAACCAAATAACTGAGTCTGTTAAACCATTCCACATAGGCTTCCAGGTTACGGGTCTTCTTCCGATCATTGTAACAGCTCTGGTGAGAGAAAAGAAAAGGTGGGGGGGGAGACAACATACATATCACAGCTTTGTTATTTTTTCCTGCAATTTCTTTCCTGGGAAAAGACCTCTAGTATGTAACCTCACCACCTCAAGCTTTCACACATTCAAGTGGTAAGTGGTACTGACCACCTGAAAGACCAGTAAAATCAGGTCTTAAACACAATATGCTTTTAAGTTTTGTTGAATGAGGGCAAAAGTCCATATCAGGCCATGCCCCATCAAACTAATAGCCCTGCCGCATCCCCCCACCTGCATCAGAAGTAAAATTGAGGCCTGATGGCTCAATGCTTATTTGGCACATTCATTCAAGTGAGTAGTCCAAATTAGGCTATTATAGTCTGCCTTGCAAAAACTGCCCTTGCAATTTCAGATAAAACCTTATTTTCCCCTTCCTGTCTTACGTTATTCTGTTGCATCTCGGAACAGTTCCCATAATTTAGCCCAGAACTTAAGTGGTATTATCTTTACCTACAGAAAGTCATTTTGGGATCCTGTCTGGATGAAAGGTAAGTTATGACTGAATCATTACACTGGGTTTGCCAAATCTGAAGAGGGCAGGTAATTTAGTATTAACTTCATGGCTTTGGCATAGTCAACCAACAGATCATAACTCATCTCCAAACCCAAAAGAGAGGGATAACAGCTCCAGCACAGTTAGTTAAAAGCACCATTTGTCCTTGCCCTTCATCCTGTATAGGCCTGTAGCTCATAATCCTCATTGCAGGTATAATATAAAAGATATGCAAGCAAATTGCACTTTTCTTATCAGCTTGCGACAAATAGCTCAATTTACTAAAAGGGCAGGAGGAAAAAGAAAGAGAGAAAATGAGCGATTCAAAAGCCAACAGACTGAAATGAGCCTTTCATCTTGGCTGTGGAAAAGGAAGGTCATGTGTAATCACCTGCAAGGCCTCAGTCAAGGCTAGGTCTTCAGGTAGATTTAAAGAAGCGGCAAAATCCCAACGAAGCCATTAAGTCAAAGAGATGTTGGGTCCCTGAGCGAGATCAGAATAGGAACTGAGTTGCTCCACCCTCACCCCTGCTTGCCAAATGAACAAAAATTCTTACAATAAAACCAGAAGCTCTCAAGCAGTTCTGTGTTCACATCTATTTGCTGTTATAAAATGCTTTTATTAACAGATAAAAGTTCAAGGATGTTAAACAGTGTCCTTTTTTCCCCCCCTCCACTCACCTTGTCATTATCCAAAGGATCCTTTTGTACAAATGCCTGGACAAATTCTTCTGGTCCAATATAATTCAGGCGCTCCTAAAGACAATACAGAAGTTGTCAATTCCTTTGTTCTTCTGCGCTTCAAGAAGAGATGCACAAGGGCGGCTGGAAAATTAGTAAACAGATCTAGCAACCACTTACCAGCTCTATGTTAGTCAGCTGCTGGGCTAATGTGTAAGGGTCACTGCAGACTGTGATTATGTCCCTCTGTATGGACTGTGGTTTGGTCTTCAGGACAGTGAGGCGATCTGTGGATGTTGCATTTATTTTTGCAAGTACCTCCTCATACTGGCTAAGACAGGCAAGCTTCCGGATCAGGTTCTGGATAAGCTGCTGGACATTCTTCCGATACATCTATCATGGCACAAGACAAGCAAAAGAAAGATATTCCCGGAACATGAAAGACTACTTTAGTGCCCGATGCGTAGCAAGACAGAATCATTACAATTGATATTAGTTATCAGCAGCTTAGACATTCTCAGAAAATTTATTGCTGCAGTCCTTGAATTAACAGCCAAACCCTGACATAGAATACAGGCACAGGTGTTGAACATGACATCACAAAGCATTTAAACTAGAATCATAGAAAGTTAAGGTTGGAAGGGACTTCAGGAGTTCATTTAGTTCAAGCTCCTGCTTACAGCAGGGCCATCCCCAAATAGAACACCCCAGCTAAGGCTTTGTCTACCTGGGTCTTAAAAACCTCCAAGGATGGGAATTCCACCACATCTCTAGGTAGCCTGTTCCAGTGCTTTACTATCTACCTGGTGAGAGTTTTTCCCTGATATCTACCCTAAACTTCCCTTGCTGTAATTTGAGACCTTGACTCCTTGTTGTGTAATGTGCCACCACCAAGAACAGTTTAGCTCCATCCTCCTTTGAACCACTCTTCAGGTAGTTGAAGGCTGCTATTAAATCTCCCCGCAGTCTTCTCTTCTCCTGACTAAATAAGCTCCATTCCCTCAGCCTCTCCTTATAGGTCATGTGCTCCAGCCCTCTAACCATTTTTGTTGCCCATTGCTAGACTCTCTCCAATTTGTCCACATCCCTTCTCCACTTGAGGGCCCCAAACTGAACACAGTACTCCAGATGTAGCCACACCAGTGGTAAAACAGAGGGGAAGAAGTACTTCACTCAATCTGCTGGCAACGCTTCTACCAATGCAGGATTTGATTGTCTCTGATCCAATGGTGACCTACCTAGTCTACGTAACAGAAAGGCGAAAACACTATAAAGTGAAGCACTGCCCATCTAGTAAGACACCAGAGGTGAAATACTGCATCTCCAACTGCTTAAAGCAGCCAGAAGAAAATTCTAACCATGTTTAATATGCAGCCATTCTGTCATAATGCAATTAATTTTCTTTTCCCTGGTGTAAATCGAGATTAATTCCATTGACTTCGACAGAAATATAACTTCTGGTAAACCAGAGAAAGGAGAAAGAAGTCAGATCCTATTTCTTCTTTTCACCCCAAAGACCTGATCCAAAGACCTGGCCATTAAAGTCATTGGGAATTTCAGTGGGAACAGACCTGGAACAGTCAGTCTGCAGGTCTCTTGCAATAGAGCCAAGCAATCGCTATTTTTCAAAATTCAAGACACCATCCCCAAGCTGCTAGTGGACAGAATGCCCAAGTGCTTGAAAAAACTACGTTTCCAAGTCAGTGCCACAGTATGAGCTTATTGGACTAGGAGATGAATGTTATTTGTGCCCGAATGACCCTGTCCCTCACTCCAAAGTAGCTGTTGATAAAGGAATTCAAAGTTCCCCCAATATGATAGTGGTGGTGCTGTTTTAGACATTCAGGGGAAAAAAAAAAAAAAGGGGTTTCTCTTTATTAGTGGAAGTCAAAATCTAAGCATGTTTGGGTCAACACATTCTGGAAATCTGTGGAGTTAAGTTAGGACTGAATTTGACTTGTTACTTAGGAAGCAATTGGCATTGTAGGAATCAGACTGTACTTGGATACATTTTGATTTTATCTACAGAAATGGACTCTAAAAAGCTGTAATTTAGTGCTGGGTCTTTTAATAGAAAATACAGGACCCTGCCTTTATGAGCATCCTTACCTTTATAAAGGGAGAGCATGTGCTTGCATGTACCAATTTTTTTTTTTTTTTTTTT